CCACTGAGATGCCACAAGCTACCTCTCAAGACTCAATCTGGAAGTGTCCCCTTTCAAGCCCAACCTCCCTCCCTCGAAAACACAACATTGCCATTCCAAACACCACAGTAATCTAGAGCACTTGCCTCAGGAACAATCAGTGGGGCACAATCCTGTGCCACATAAATTCTAGAAGCATTCTCCCCTTTCTACCCCAAATGGCCCCTCACAATAGCACCTCATAAAATAGCATAGTTCTGCACTCACATTTCTGTACTCTGCTAATACTCTTTCCCAGCCACTCCCAAACATTCCCTCATCTACACCATCAGAGCCAAGCTGTGCCACATGCCCCATCACATCAACACTCCATCTGATTCAGGAAGGCAGGCGCGGGCCCCATTCTTGCTTCTGAACCAAAACCTGCATCCCTACCACGTGTGCATGGATCACAGGCTTACCACACAAGGGGAAAAGAGGGATGTCTGCATAGGTGGAGTGGAAGGAATGAAGGGAAAGCGTGTCTTGTCAGGAAGTTATTTTTTTATTTTTAAGTGGCAAATAGACAAAGATGTCATCTCTGCCTTAAGGGAAAGGGTTGAGGAACCCGCCTTCTCCTTTCACCAGGTATCTATCATGTGGTGAACTTGGACATTGGATGGAAAAGTATGGGCGGTCTCTTGCGGGGAGGGTGGGGAAGGGAAGCCAAGCCCTGGCTCCCTCAAGGAAGAGGATGGGAGAAGGGACATCTCTGATACAGGAAAAGTTCAGACGCCACAGCTCAGTCAGGCTCCCCACAGAGGACAGGGAGTGCCTGCTTAGATTCCCCTGACACATGGGGACAGTTACCTCTGTTCAGGGAAGTGGGAGAGGCAGTCAAGGCTCCACACACAGTAAGCAATAAACACCTGAGCAACCCCCACTTGAGTCTGGATCCTTGGTATGGTGGGGAAACAAAGGGGCTAGAGGGGGGACAACACAGGCCCAATGCATAAAGAGGCACACACCAGTCTCCCTCTACAGCAGTGGTTTTCAACCAGGGATACATGTACCCCTGGGGGTATGCAAAGGTTTGCTGGGGGTACATCAACTCATCTAGATGTTTGCCTGGTTTTACAACAGGCTGCATAAAAAGCACTAGCAAAGTCAGTACAAACTAAAATTTCATACAATAACTTGTTTATACTGCTCTATATTATACTATACACTGAACTGTAGGTACAATATGATTATTCCAATTTATTTTATTATATTGTTAAATGAGAAAGTAAGCAAATTTTCAGTAACAATGTGCTGTGACACTTCTGTATTTTTACATCTGATTTTGTAAGCAAGTAGTTTTTTTTAAGTGAGGTGAAACTTGGGGGTAGGCAAGACAAATCAGACTCCAGAAAGGGGTACAGTAGTCTGGAAAGATTGAGAGAGACTGCTCTATAGGAGGCATAGGGGTATCTCTGCCACGTGGGAAGGAAGCCTGGACACCACCCACCTCTAGGAGAATCCCTGTGACCCCAGCGCACGCGCACACACGCGATGGAGTAACTGGTGCAGGAGCAAGGGGAAAGCCAGGTGCTCAGAACCCCGGTGGATGGACCCAGGGTCGCTGCTGACGGGATACAGCGGGCGGGCAGCCCATGCCTCACTACCCCAAAGAGGGTGCCTGCTCCGCGCGAGAGAGAAAAGCCAACCTTCCTTTATAAGGGGTCTTGGGGGCACAGGAGATGACTCTGCCCCAGGCAGAATCTCTCCGCCGCCCCGGACAAGGGGCGGGGAGCGGCAGGGGAGATGGAGCCCAGTGCCCCCCCCCCTTAAGGGGCAACTCTGCCCGGGGCGCAGAGAGGAAGCCCGAGCCCCTTGCAGGAGCCGAGACGTGGGGAGGGGCGTGCCCGTCCCAGGGCGAGCGGCAGCCTGGCCCGCACACCGGGCCCGGGGGGAAGGGAGCCTAGATCCCTGCGGGGTGGGGGGCGGACGAGAAAGCGGAGGGCCCCGTGCCTGGTCCGCAGCTCCCGGCCTCCGCGAGGAGCCCGCTCCGCCGCCGCTGACAGCCCGAGCAGCTCCCTCCCCTGCCAGGCCCGGCGGGCGCCAGGCGGTGGAGGCCCCGCTGCTGTCCCAGCCGAGTGTCTCCTTACCGTACGACGGGGCATGGCGCGGAGCGCCCCGGGGCACGGCCTCCTGCCTGGGGCGGGGGCGACGGGTCGGGGTCGCTAGGCTCCTCTCCGCTGCCACCGCCTCCTCACAACCACAACAACATGGCGGCCGCACAGCGCGCGGGCACGGGCGGCCAGGGCGAGGGGCGGGACCGGCGGCGGCGCGCGGCCAGCGAGAGGGGCGGGACCGGCACCGCCACCGCCCTCCCCCGGCCAGTCCTCAGAGCTGTCCCTGTTTGTTCCCTGCCCCCACCCCAGCCGGCGCAGGCGGGTGGCACGGCGCTCCTTTCCCTGTCCCCCACAGCGGGGCGTCAAGCACCGACCCCCGGAGCCCTCCGGCTCTCCATAGCGATAGGCCCAGGGAGAGCTTCCGTGATTAACAACATCTGTAATCAGAGGGGAAAGCACGTGTTACACAGCCCAGGAGGTTCGGAGGACAAAGGCCAGTCTCCTAAATAGCCAGGCAGGCCCCTTTGATTAGGAAATAGCCTTACATTTGCGCTACTTTTTGCGCTCTTCAAGCCTGGGAAACGCCACTTCCTGCACTAACAAAGCTTCTTGAGTGGGTTTCAACCCTTATACAAGTCTTAAAAATCACTAACTAAATCTACAGCCCCTGCCGTTAGAGAAACCAAGATCAATTTGTCAGAGCCATTCCAGTCTGCCAGTTCACTCTTGCCAGAGAGATTTAAATGTCTAGGTCTGTGGTTGGCCACGGACACATTCTTTATGCAGCAGAAATTATACAGCAGTCCCCAAGGGAATTGAATGCAAAGGGATAGCTGTAGACTTATCCAAATAGTATCACAAGTGACATCTATTCTCCTGGTTATGTGTGACCCCAAATCCTTGAAGTGTTACATTTGTGAATAGGAGAAACCAAGAGCCACTATAATTGTGCAAAACAAGCCCGTGGTCTCTTCTCCCAGCTTTAGTGTATTCCATAAAGCAACAGTCCTATTGTTCTGTCTCCATAACTTTTCCACCCTCACAGGACACACACAGTTACAAACCAGTTAAAAAGGTCTCCTTTGCCACAAGGCCTACAAAACTCCTCAATAATAGTTAGCCAACTAGTGTGCTGTAACCACTACTCATCATGCTGACCAGTATTAGCTCATTGCTTTCTGGTCTCTACCTGCTATCTTACACAAGTGGTTTAGGGTAGAGTGTGTCTTACGTTTGTGTAAGTGCCCAGTACAATAGCCTCTACAAATAACTGAT